GCCTGAGACACATCCCTGGGAGAGAGGCCCCTCAATTGGTTCCTCCCCCAGGAGTCCCAGCCAGGAGGTGGGGGTGGGGTGGGGTAACCTGCAGCCCAGGGACTTGTCCTTGGCCAGGACTCCAACCCTCAACCCTTCCCAGGGGGGCCGAAGCTCTGACCACACTGGCCAGAGCCCAGCACTTCTTCTAATTGCAGGCGCCTACTGATGGACACTTAGGTGGCTCCATATCTTGCTCCTGAAAATGATGCCGCAGTGAGCACGTGGGTGCCTGTGTCTCTCCCACTAGTGTTGGGGCTTCTTCAGACAAGTGCCCAGGAGCAGAAGTGCTGGGTCCTTCTCTGTCTCCTGTTGTCGGGCCTTCGTCTGAAGGTCTGTGCTGTCTGCTATAAGTATTGCTACCCCGAGATTTCCTTGTTTGTCTTTTGTCTCCATTTTCATGAAACACCTTTTTCCTTTCCTATCTGTCTATGTGTGTCTTTTACAGTAATTATTTTAAAAATATATCTTTATTTATTTCAGATAGAGGAAGGGAGAGGGAGAGAGAGAGATGGAAACATCAATGATGAGTCATTGATCGGCTGCCTCCTGCACACCAAATGGGGATGGAGCCCGCAACCCGGGCTTGTGCCCTGACCGGGAATCGAACCCCAACGTCCTGGATCCCAGGTTGACGCTCAACCGCTGAGCCATGCCCAGCAGGACATAAAGTAATTTTGATAGATTCGTGTTTATTGCTGTTTTATTGTTTGTATTTTTTATTTTTCGCCTTAAAGAAGACCCTTTGACATTTCTAGTAATTTGGGGGGGTGGCGGTGAACTCCTTTAGCTTTTCTTGAGTGGGAAGCCCCTTTTCTGTTCTTCATTTAAAAATGATAGATTTGCTGGGTAGAGCAACCTTGGTCATAGGTCCTGGCTTTTCACCACTTTGAATATTTCTTTCCAGTCTCTTGCCCTGAAAAGTTTCTGTTGAGAGACAGCTGACAGTCTTACGGGAGCCCTTTGTAGGTAACTAACTGCGTCTGTCCCGGTGCTTCTGAGATGCTCTGTCTTTGGCCCTTGCGTTTCAGCGATGCCGAGTCTTGCTGTGCACCTCTGCGGTTCCTCCGTTGGGTCTCTGCAGTCCCTGGCCCTGGGCGTCCGTCTCCCTGGCCAGGTTGGGGAGTTTCCCATCGTTACTTTGCCACGTTGGGTGTGACTCCCCTGCTCTCTCCTCCCGCCCAGCCCCTCGCCCAGGTGATGCGAATGCCGGTTCCCTTGGCGCCGTCCTTTGGCGCCGGGTTCTGTGGCTGTTTTCGGTCCAGTTTCCTTTGTGCGGCTCTGACTGTGCTCTGCTCCCTCGCCTTCCCCGCGCTGGCTGGGTCCTGCGCTGTGGCTGCTCTCCCGTGGTCCCCGTGAGGGATCCTCCGTCCCAGTTACTGTTGGTCATTTCTCACTGTTCTATGTTCCCGTCTCTTTGCTGAAGTTCACACAAAGCTCTTCTCTCCCCTCAGATCTCTGAGCATTTTCATAACCAGTGTTCTGACCTCTGCGCCCGGGCGATTGCTGGTCTCCATCCGTTTAGTTATTTTCTGGGAGGTTGGTGCTCTCCTTGCA